AAAATATAGCTAAGATGTTATCTTTTTCTGTTTCAGCTCCTGAACTAACAATCTCTGATGAATCTGGACGTCAAGTTTCTGAACGCTACTACAAAGCTGGAAGCAGCTTAGAGTTGACCTGCTTTGCAACTCAGGTGGGAAACCCGAACGAGGAGCACCCGATCGCCTGGAAGCACGGAGATCGCACCCTCACCGATGGCATCAGGTAACTATCACCCCGCAGAGCTACCACATAGTCCATCAAAACCAACCAACCCCTCCGTACATCAACAATTTTACTGCCACCCTAATGGTCGCAGCGATTTACTCCCTGCATTATGGCTCGTCTGCGCGTTCCAATCTCTTCTTTTTTTCTTCTTCTTCTTCAACCAGCGTGATGTGTTGTCCTCCTTTTCTTCTCGTCTTTTTTTTTCCATCTCCTTCTTTCAGCCCTCCATGGTGCCAACCCCTCGATTGATCGCTGTGTAAATAGACGCTGGAGAGAAACCGAAAGTAAATTTCACGAGCAACGCACACATATCATTTGCTTGTTGTGTGCTCGAATAACACACACATATATATATATCTTTATATATAGAGATATACACGCATGCTACCGAGATTCATATCAGCGATTTACAAAATGGCACACAGCGGGGACACAAGCTGGGGTGATAAAGGGGAGGGCGAAAAAGTTTTCGGCCATCGCTTACAAGAAACTTCCCCAAACTGCAACGTCTCTTGTTCCCAGGCGATGCTCGAAATCGGAGACTGATTCTTTTTGAGCCTACATCTTTTATTTTATTTATACAATTTTTTTGTTCCTTGCTACAAAATCTAATAAGTTATTTTTGTGGTCAGTGATTTACGACACGATTTTAATCTGTTTACAACCAACGTTTTACAACCTTTATATTTTTATTCACTTGACAAGCAACATCTGTATTCAAGATTGTTTGCTACCATTCTTCATACGCATTTGTATAGCATATAAAAAAAGATACCTAGAGGAAATTTTGGATTATTATCGTAGTTAAAATTGCATCATAATTCATACTTCTGAAGGGTCTTAAAATGTTGAAAAGAAAACTAAAATTATACATTACATAAGATAATCTTGGAAATACTTTCTCTTTTTATTTTCTTATTTCGTAACAATTAATGAAATATAAAGATTGATAAACAGTAAAATTATTTAATTATCTGTAATTAACAATTAAAATTTATTTTTAATACTTTTTGACAACAATTTTTTTTTATCATAGGTTAATACAATTTTGAAATTTATTTATATCTTTATAATAATCTCTTACGTAACACCTTGACTAAATTACCTAAGTGTATATTAAAATATACAATTTATATGTTGAACATATTTTTTTTGTTAAAGATATAAATAAATTTCAAAATTGTATTAACCTATGATAAAAAAAAAATTGTTGTCAAAAAGTATTAAAAATAAATTTTAATTGTTAATTACAGAAACACATTGAAAAATTAAATAATTTAACTGTTAATCAATCTTTATATTTCATTAATTGTTACGAAATAAGAAAATAAAAAGAGAAAGTATTTCAAGATTATCTTATGTAATGTATAATTTTGGTATCTTTTTTTATATGCTATACAAATGCGTATGAAGAATGGTAGCAAACAATCTTGAATACAGATGTTGCTTGTCAAGTGAATAAAAATATAAAGGTTGTAAAACGTTGGTTGTAAACAGATTAAAATCGTGTCGTAAATCACTGACCACAAAAATAACTTATTAGATTTTGTAGCAAGGAACAAAAAAATTGTATAAATAAAATAAAAGATGTAGGCTCAAAAAGAATCAGTCTCCGATTTCGAGCATCGCCTGGGAACAAGAGACGTTGCAGTTTGGGGAAGTTTCTTGTAAGCGATGGCCGAAAACTTTTTCGCCCTCCCCTTTATCACCCCAGCTTGTGTCCCCGCTGTGTGCCATTTTGTAAATCGCTGATATGAATCTCGGTAGCATGCGTGTATATCTCTATATATAAAGATATATATATATGTGTGTGTTATTCGAGCACACAACAAGCAAATGATATGTGTGCGTTGCTCGTGAAATTTACTTTCGGTTTCTCTCCAGCGTCTATTTACACAGCGATCAATCGAGGGGTTGGCACCATGGAGGGCTGAAAGAAGGAGATGGAAAAAAAAAGACGAGAAGAAAAGGAGGACAACACATCACGCTGGTTGAAAGAAGAAGAAAAAAAAAGAAGAGATTGGAACGCGCAGACGAGCCATAATGCAGGGAGTAAATCGCTGCGACCATTAGGGTGGCAGTAAAATTGTTGATGTACGGAGGGGTTGGTTGGTTTTGATGGACTATGTGGTAGCTCTGCGGGGTGATAGTTACCTGATGCCATCGGTGAGGGTGCGATCTCCGTGCTTCCAGGCGATCGGGTGCTCCTCGTTCGGGTTTCCCACCTGAGTTGCAAAGCAGGTCAACTCTAAGCTGCTTCCAGCTTTGTAGTAGCGTTCAGAAACTTGACGTCCAGATTCATCAGAGATTGTTAGTTCAGGAGCTGAAACAGAAAAAGATAACATCTTAGCTATATTTT